CACTTCTTACCATCCAGTTCCTGCTCTGGAGCTCCTTCTTTGTCCCTGCGTGCACAGCTGAAGCAGGAGCAGGAGCACTGAGATCCACAGCTACAAAGCGACTAGCATGGACAAGCAACAGATACAAAGATGAAAGTGTTTCAGATACATGCAAAACAGGATGTAAGGGTTGTCAGCGTTTGAATGGCTCGAGTCAGTGAAAAACATGTCATCTGGAGCATCTTGCACATATTATACTGAAAGTCATTTGAGGACTGGATTAAGCAATGCAGAAAACATAAATCCACCTGCACAAAGTGTATTGGTCAGTTCTAAATTGTACATAAAATACCTGGGGAAATGCAATCAGCAGTGGCCACGAGTATACAGATCACGTTACTATTAAGACTGGAAGCACCACTAACAGCAGAAAGAATCCAGATCCGTATTTCTCAAGCTGTGCGAGGCTGGTTTAGCTATGGATAAATGTAGACTCTTCTGGTGTCTGAGCTAGTTACCAGACTACAGCATGTTTACAACCAGTGTACTGCAAAATCAAGCATCAGAAAGACCAGTATATGGACAAAGGTAACTTGATTGCTAAAAGTTTAGACATACTTAACTAGTTACCTTTGTCCATATACTGATTGCTAAAAGTTTAGACATACTTAACTGGTGAGGGTGAACTGTAGACCACTGAGGGCTTCATATCCACCTATTATTTCCACCTGTCTGGCTGAATATAGATTTATAAAACCAGAGAAGATTGTTACAGAAAGACTCACGTATCCATATAATTTCATGAGATGTCATCAAATTTTCTCATTGCTTTCTTCGTTTTGACGTCAGTTTTGCACATAGCCTCAAGCAGCACTTACCTGCTTTCTACATTGGTGCAGTGCATGAATACGTATAAGTATTTTGCAGATTACATGTGCAGGGAGGGAGCTACATACTTACTGTAGCCCTTCCAGTTCTGGCATTTTTCATCTTGCGAACAAGAGTGAGATAGAAGCCAGACCCAAAGCAGTTCTTTAGGAATACAGGAGAGCCTGAGCAGAAGAGTTTTCCTTGGGATATGATGGCTACTCTGTCTCCAAGGATGTCTGCCTCATCCATGTGATGGGTTGAGAGGATGATGGTTCTGCCTACAAGAAACAATGAGGAATGTTCAAGGCATGGACTCTCTCTGGAACTCAAAACTGTGCTTAGTTTTTTGGCAATTAATGCAGGATTTTCTCTGCACCAGAGCCACGTCCCAGGTTTGCCACATCCACAGATATCTGTTCAAAGAATCTTGTTTGCTTGTATTCATATCCCACTACTCATGACAGTTTACACAGCAGGCACATGCTGCATCTATGACAGGTTTTTTTTAGAAAAAAACAAAACAGAACAAACCCAAACAATTTCTCCTCTCAAACCTGTTACCTGAGCGATACTTCAGCAGAAGATCCCAGATAGATCGCCTGGAATATGGGTCAACTCCAGAAGTGGGCTCATCCAAGACTACCACTTTTGCTTCACCCACGAAAGCAATGGCAACAGACAGTTTCCTTTGCATTCCACCTACCAGAGGACAGACACATCCAGGAGTCTGAGATGAGTTACATAATTGGTGGGGATGTAATTAACACTGCTTTTCAGTGTGGGGACAAACTGATACAAATAAAACAAAACCCATCCTCAGACAAATATTTCTGCAAAGTTAAATCAATAGTCACATTTTTTTCTGAAGTTCAGAATAGCTTGTTCAAATTATTTTTAAAATATATTTTTCATCTACGTGCTGCACTTTCTGCTTCTTGCCAGAAGCAAAAGCAGGAAGATACGAGATTTTCATGTCCTCACGTGAAACTAGCCAACTTTTATAATTGCAACCAGGACAAAATAGTACAAGAACACCTGGCTGTTTATTCAACTCCTCTTTTGAATCTGAAAGTGAGATGTGTTCAAATACACCATGTGCACTTTTACCTTTAGAATGAAAGAAATTACTCCTACCAAATAATACAGTATTATAGAGTACTGATCCAAACTATGGAGCAACATGATAGTATAATATGTCATTTGCCTTGAAATAATACAACATTGTATTTTTTTTCCTTACTTTGATGGATTTTTTTTATATAGTCATTTCAAAATAACATCTTTAAGTATATTTGAATTTGTTGTATATTTATAAGAAACAGAAGCTTTATGGACAGGTTATGTCAGCTTTAATTTTTGTACAGTCCCACCTACTCTTTGAGAGTAAAGACCTCCCCAGTACACAGTGATGTGTCAGAATATTTCCTCAAACATGAAATTCAAACAATAATTGCCCAAAGACAAAGAAAAGGCAGCAGAAAAAAATGTCTTAGAACAATCCTGTGGGCACCTGACAAATTCTGAGCCTCTTCATTCCTTTTATGGGTGAGGCCCATGTCTTCTAGCATTGTTTCCAACTCTTGCTCAGCTTCATCCCTGGATCTCCCTTTCAGTTGAGAATAAAACAAGATGTGCTCTGCTACAGTAAGGCTGTGAAATCAGACAGAAAGGCACCAAGGCAATTTAAATGAATAAGCAGACTTTTTCCCAAGCAGCAATAAATTCACTCTAGCTCCACCTTGCTAAAGGAAGAGTGGCTGCTTTACCCTAAATCTGGATCACAGATCTTCTTTGGGATCAACACACTTAGATGTTATAGGCTCTTTCTCTTCCTTTCCAAAGCAGAACCTGCTACTAAAGGAACAGGTATAGCAGGCATCAAGCTACCCATTTATGGGATTAAAATGGGAGTTAACGTGAGTGGCTGCATTAAGGAAGAGAGTCTGCTGTTGAGATGAATGCAAACTGATGGCAGTGAAGCTGGAAATCACCTGAGAAGGTAGTAAACGGTTGGGTGGTAGCGCAAAAGGAGCATAAAGGTATCCTGCTACTGCACTGTCGGCTCAGATTGTTTTGCTTTAGGAGGCCTAAATTATAGTGCATAAATCCCCAGGCTGAACTCCTGCTAACTCACACTGCAACAGAAAACACCAACACCAAGAGTACTGTCATTTTCCTTGGAAACTTCTTTGTTCTCAACTAAATGTTGCAGGAGTTTTCTACTGGAGAAGGACAACATCTACCCCATGTGAGCATTAAGAGCTGAAGAAGTGCCCCTGAGATGTATCTACTGCCAGCACAGCAAGAGAAACAACACAGGCTTTGGGGGTGTCAAGCATGCAGACTGGGATCCTTACTCTTAAAGCTAGTATGTAATGATACTTACTGATTGAATAAGATGTTGTACTGAGGGCACATTCCTAATCTGTGCCGAATGGAGTCCATGTGAGTCTGAATATCCAGGCCGCCAATCAGCACAGTTCCAGAGGTGGGTGGGAAGAGTCCTGTCACTATCGACCTGGGAAAATAAAATGAGGAAACTCCCACTTTCCCATCTTGCTGTACCAGATTAGGAAGATGTATTGCATGATTCCACTAGATGGAGCATGATGGCTTTTTACTACGGGCCTTGGTGAAACAACTCCAGTAAAAAGCATACATATAAATACTCTTGCCCTGCTATAGTGAGAATCTTGTGGATCTGCCAACGTAATTTTTGATGCACCTGTCTGTATGGTTCTGGCCTGCATTAAAAAAACATTTTAGTCAGCTAACTCTGTTTCAGAGTAGTTTGTTCAGTACCTTACATCACCCCTACATACAAACGGGTCTAAAGTGAAGCTCACTAGGACCAAGACAGAGAATAATGGTTTGAGGTCTCCAGCCACGCTGACTCATGCCCTACACCTTTATTTTCTATAAAATGGAAGGGGACCGAATGTTATGTTGCAAATGGGTGGAACCTGTTACTAGATTTAGATGAATAATGGATGTTTCAGTTCTGAAAATTTCGAAGCAATAGAAATTTTTGGTTTTTTATCAGGAGACTAGAAAAACAAATTTACAAAACATTTCAGCAGATCAGAATGCTTTTATTCTGGGTTGAACATATTTCTTGGAGAACAATTAAAAAAATGAAAAGGCAATTTAGTGTGCATTTCAAATAAAAGACTTTTAAAATTAGAAAACCTAAAGTGTTCTGCTGGGAAAAATCATAATGAAACACTTCAGTTCTTCCATCATTTGGTGAAATTGTCACAGACTTATAATGTTTTGTTCAGCAATTAATTCTATTTTGCCAAATGAAGTTCCAAATAAAGAAAATCAAACATTCCTAAAGTCCAGCTTCCTGAGACGCTAGGGTTCTAGGACTAGGGGAACATTTTAATCCAGATATAAACATTGCCTATATGTAACCATTTTGTCTAAAGAGGGCCTATATTTTATACTCCTTTGGGCACAGACCAAAAAATGTGACTGACTTAAAGCCAGTTAGACAGAGAAACAAAGAACACGTGGAGTGTGGAGGCTTTCAAATCTTCAGTTCCTTCAGCCAGAAAATCCTCCTCCCTCTCCACCTACTGGGAGTTTCGCCATGGGAAATGAAATCTGGGGGAGAGACTTGCTTCCTTCTCTCTAGACTTTCACTTGTTTGTGTCATGCATTGCCTCACTCGCAGGGCTTTAGCTAATCCAAGGTATCTTCTCTTTGCCTAGGGGTAGCGTTTCCCTGTCTGGAAAAACCTTGATGTTGTGTGTCAAGCTAGCTGCAGGGGTGGTAGAGAGATAAGGGAAGAGTGAAAAGAGAAGACTGCCCCTCAGGACAGTGCAATAGAGCACTGCCCTGGATTTGCGTCTTCTAAAATACAGACTTACATGGTGGTTGTCTTTCCTGCTCCATTGTGACCAAGGAAGGCTGTGATTTGGCCCTCATAAAAAGTAATATTCATCCCATCTACTGCTGGTTTTGGTCTGTTTGCAAATATCTTCACCAGGTTCTGAATGCATACTCCTGGAATCAATCCTGTTGGCTCAGGCTCAAAGAAGGTATTTACTTGAAAGGCAAGAAATCAGGAATGAAAGAATAAAAGTACATGTTTTAATCCCAGTTCTGATGATGACACATCAATAAGTGCAGAAGCAACAGCACATACCCTGTAAAATACAGCATGTGCCAAGGCCACATTCTCCAGTCACACCAGTATCAAACTGAGGCAAGATTTCTAACTGAAGTACAATTTATTTAGATTCACCCATGTATCAACGACAGGAGAAGCAGAGCCCAGAATGTAATGGTCTGTGGAGAAGTAACTCATCGGATCAGGTGAAGCTGAACACGCTTTCTGTTTTCATTTTGTAGTAGGAAGATTATTTGGGATTGTTGTCTGTAGATACTTAGACAGGCTAAGAGATTACATTAAACAAGCAGCAGGTCGCCTTTCTAGCCAGGCTGAAATCTGCCATTCAAATCATCTGCCCAGCTGTGCATTCTTTTCCCATGATGCTTTAAAAAAAAACAACATTTGCCTTTAATCCTGGTAGGTGAAATTTACCCCCTTGCTGAGGCCAGCTTAAGACTTAGGCAGTACCTAACATGATCACTACATGAGATGGCTTTCTCTCAGGATTAAAAATGCATTATTGTAAATAGCACCATCAGAATGCTTTATTGCATCAGCTTCCAGACAAAACAAACTTCCTTTGAAGTAAATTAAGCCCTTGGGCAATGTGAATTATGGGAGTTAAGAAATTTAAACTAAAGACCCTGTCCACTTTTGTTCACAGAGAATGCTTAAGGCTTTGTAGGGAGGCTTGTTTGGCAATTGCAGTTTACTGAAATTGTTCAGTACCCAGCAGGCCAGTGTGGAGAGCAGTCAACGCCATCTGGGTGAAACCAGCCCCACCTCCATCTCTGGCTTGTATGACTGTCATTATAAACAATACTCAGGAAAAAGTTCCAAATATGTTGTACGTAAGGAGCTGTATATGCTACAGAGCAGCTGAAGTAATTCTTCTAGAGTGGGTAGCTTTATTGTAAAGAAAATTATGTTTATAACAAACTTTTCTTTGGCTTTGTGAAGGAATCTTGGTTTCCTTTTACCTTATTGGGCCAGATACGAACATCCCTGTGTTTACAAAATTTCACATGGAGTCTGGCTAGATAGATATGCGTATATTGGCAGTTGAGGTACCATCCTTGCTTTTATATGTATCATGAGTTCAATTCATATTTGTCTACAAGACTCACTGACAAGTTCTGAGGAAAATTCTCTGATGATCTCCCCCAGTATCTGCTTTGCATCACCTCAAGGACAGTGGTGGAGGGTTTAGCCCCCTTTTTTTGTGATTCATATTTCTCCATTCTGATCCTATTCCCTCAGTGCAATTTTGGGCCATTTAGGTCTTTCTTCAGATGTGGTAGCATTTGTGGGGGATGTGGATGAGGCTTTGGTGAAAGCTCTGCTTAAAATGTATCAAGCAATTAGGACAGATTTATACTGTGTCTGCCATGCTATGCTAACCTGTGCTAGTATTGGGCTGTACTAGAGTTAAACCATTAGAACTACTCTCCATTTCCCATTCCATTACTCTTGCATGAAACACTAGCTCTTACATGAAGCCATTTTGGAAACTGTGTCCTTAAACTATACCAAGTCTGCTCTTGGTTTCCCCATGTGTCTCCCAGTTCCTGGCTGAAAGAGAAGACAGGCTTTTTTCTGCAGTGACAAGCAAAGCCCTTTCTCTGTGGCCACGGAGCAGCTGGAACCTGGGAGCTGATGAGTACAGCACCACAAAGATAAGGCAGTACTAGGAGAAGATTGGCTGAAATAACCTTTGCCCTCTGCCTGTCTTTTCTCTTTTGAAGTCCTGTCCTGTTTCCATTCACTCTGAATGCGTGTTTTCAGTGCCTACGTGAGGAGCTCTGATGACCCCACTTTTATCTCTAGCTTTTCAAGACAGACAGAGTGGGCTCAGAGCTGCCTGTAGCAGTTGCTTTTGCTACAGAATCCACATGAATTCCTCTGAGCATCACATATACAGAAAACTCCTCTGGCTCCCCACAAAAGACAACATTGGGACTTGAAAACAAGGCAGGTCATTCAGGAATTCTTAGGTGGTGGCTAATATCAGCATCAGAAATGGCTGCAGACAGACACACAGAGCACTTCAGATAAATCCCTTTGAAACCAACCTTTCCCTATAGACGCAAGACATGCTAAAGGCAGGCAAAAAAACCCCTAAAACA